CCATTTACCTAGAAGCCCACCTAGCTAAAACAAGGCAAACCTTCTCCGCTTGAAGCAGAGACCTGTCTAACCTCCAGTGCTGACCCGGCCCTCCTCTGAGTCAGCCCCCAGGGCTGCTTGGCAGGGAAGCTGAGAAGGGACTCCTATGTCAGAGGGGAGTTAGGCCTGCTCTTTAGGGCCTCAGCCGTGCTGTACGACGTTGCACCCTGTAGAAAGCAACCTAATCTCTTGCTGCTGCATGGGATGTGGCAGGACTGTGCCTGAGAAGCTTCCCCAGAACATGTGAACTGTGACTTTAAAAATATGTTTTAAAAATATATGTGTGTGTGTGTGTGTGTGTGGCTTAAGAATGAGCCCAGTAAACAATACTGACATTGTTTCCACTGAAATATTTCAAGTGTAGGGTGGAAATGTCCATGAAAGGTGATCTCAGTGTGCCCAGAGTCAGCCTTCACAGGACAATGGAAGAGCTTACATTTAATGTATAAAAATTCTCGGTAAGTGAGAAGGTCAGGAAAAAGAGGGCTTTTACTGGACATTAATGTTCAGGAAGTGCTTGCAATGGGGAAGCCTGGATTGGGAACCACAGGAAAGAAAGAGTAGGGGTCTAGAAAAAATTAGAAAGAATGCCACTCTTTAAATACACAAACATCAGCAACATGAACAATNCTAGAAAAAATTAGAAAGAATGCCACTCTTTAAATACACAAACATCAGCAACATGAACAATTGTCCCTTTCTTGGCTTTCCTGGAAGGTGGAACTTCTTAAACCTGAGCAGAAAAATAAAGGAAGGAAAAAATTTTTTCCAAATTGGTCAGAATTGAAGGATGAAGGTTTTGTAAGTTTCTTCAATAATTATTTTTAAATAATTATTAAGCAATATTTAATAAAAAGTTAGAATTCTCTTCCTAAGAATGTTGCCCAGTTTCCAGAAGGCATCAGGAAACATGCATGGTATTGTCCTGAGAATCTTTACTTTTGCATAAAGATCTCTGTAAGGGACCTGCACAAGCCAAAAGATGGAAATTGTTGCTTTTTATGCTAGGACTGTTTCAATCCTCTTTGAAATTTTATCCTTTGGACACAGGAGCAAACACAATCTCTCAAACCTTAGTGAGATTTGTCCAGTTGTACATTTCACTCTACAGAGGAGGAGGAATGTCTACTGCCTTATACTGTCTAGGACTCAGGGCTTTGGAATCATGTTCTGATATTACAATTGTACCCAGGCAAATGAAGCATAGTAGAAAAGGAATTCTGAGGCTTTCCCTTCCTGGAATCAGGCAGCTTTTTCTGTACTCACTTGAATGTGACGTGCAGAAGTATCTTTGCTATGATGGCTGTGACCGTGAGGATGAGGAGAGTTGCCAGACCATACACTGTCCATCCTGCAAGTAAACAAAACAAAACAAAACCAGAGTTTACTGGACCTGTTTGTGCTTGGTTCTCAAAAGGAGGTCTGTTGGAAGCCCCAAGTGAACACTGGCAGCTGGGAGATGCAGGTCTGGCTGAGGAACTCCCTCCAGGTGGGGGACAGCCAATGAATGTGGTGACAGGAGCACCTGCAAGCTGGGCTGAGCACGGAGCCCAGGCTTTCTAAGTACCTTGCCTCATTCTAGAACTCCTTCTTGGAGAGAGGAAGGAGGTATGACCCAAAGTACACTGGACTCAGAATTGAAAGGGGTGGTGTACGTTTCTACCACTAGAACCACTGTGTAACCACAGATGAGTTATGTAAGTTCTTTAGGCCTCAGTGTCCTCATATGAGGAATGTGATGTGTGACCTGTGAAATCCTACCAGGATCCAGAGCCAAATGACACAGAGCAAGCACTGCCCTCCTCCCTGACCTGTGGTGGGTCCTACAGGGGACCAGGGTGCAGTTTGAAAGCCTCTAGGCTAGGTTACTGCTAACTGCACTCTTCAGCTCTACTAGCCCATAAAGGCACCACTTCCTTTGCAGAAAAGAGACACTGGAGGAGGATGTATCCAACCAAGTTAGCCAACTTAAACTACAAAAGATCACTGCCCACTCTCCATCCCTCTCTGAATGACTTTCCTTTATAGATCTTATCACTATCTGATAAAATAGTGCTTCTATTTTGCTTCTTTCTCCTCCCACTTATAAACCAAAGGAGGGCAGGGATTTTGTTTGGTTCACTGTGTAGTTCGCTGCCTAGAATAGTACCTGACACCACCGAAGCACTTACATATCTTTTGAATGAATGAAGCTCTCGCAAATGCCAATGAATTTAGAGAGCTACAACCTGGGGCTCTGCAAAGATAATCTCAAGTGAGAAGTGAGAAAATACTAAATGAGCTGTTTAACCATGGTGTACAAAAGGCACATGGGCTAAATCTTTGGAGGTGAGCACTATTTCCTAAGGACTAAGGAACCAAGCTAATGAGAAAATCTCCCTCAAAGGCCTGGACAAACAAAGGCCAGGTCACAAGGCTGGCACTCCCAACCTGCCTCTTAATGAGAAACGCAGAAGAGTGCTTTTGTTTCTGTAACTGCCAAGAGCGCTACCTTCAACTCTGTTGCTTCCAGCCCTGACTGATGGTGCCCAGGAATTGCTACCTGGGACAGTCTGAGGTGGGTGGCTGGGGCTGGTGGTGATGACGTAGAGGACTTTGGAGGACCGGGCAGCGCTGATGCTGAGGTTGGCCTGCTCCGTGATCACCTCGGCCAGCGTCTGGTTGATGGTAGGCCTTTCCTGTGGTGGTTCTTCCTTGACAGCTGGAAGATCAAAAGGAATTAATTGGGGAGAAAGCTGATAGAGACAGTGAAGAGCTGTGAAGAACGAGGCGCTGGTTAGGAGGAAGGTCTCCTTCTTTGGTTTGGTTCTGGGTACAATTCTTCTGCTTGTCCCACTGACCCCCAAGCAGAACCTGTCAAGACTCTAGGTTCTTCCTTGACAGCTGGAAGATCAAAAGGAATTAATTGGGGAGAAAGCTGATAGAGACAGTAAAGAGCTGTGAAGAACGAGGCGCTGGTTAGGAGGAAGGTCTCCTTCTTTGGTTCGGTTCTGGGTACAATTCTTCTGCTTGTCCCACTGACCCCCAAGCAGAACCTGTCAAGACTCTAGGTCTGACCCTGAAGGAGGCAGAAGGACAGAGCTGTCAACTTCTAATTATTTGACTGGTCTCTTTGCAGATACCTGAGCATACTTTAGAGTTTCCTTGCTCTATGCTTTTGCAGCTATGGCTCCTTTGCCTGGAAGGCTCTCTTCCTTCCTATCTATTGACCCAAATCCTACCTGTTCCTCGAGACTGTCCTACCTGCAGGGAAGGCCTCTTCCCACCTATTTCCTGTAGCACACATTATCTGAACTCTTCTTGAGGTTTGCTATCTAGGACAAAAACTAGGTTTCAGATACCTTCTGTGTTACTCACGTGCTGGCAAAAAGACATGCTTGGCACACGTGTTCACATTAGAGGAGCAGAAAGTGTGGCTCCACTTTAGAAGGTATGAAGATGGTAAATCAGTCTTTGGGATTGGCTGGGATGTTTAGAGGCAGGAGGATGGATCCAACGACCCCTTGAGAGTCTTCCAATTCTACCAGTCTCAGCTCTTTCTTTTAGTTCTTTTAACCCTCCCATGAAAACTGTCATTAGAACTATTAAAATAGCAAAATTGACAGGTTTCACCTCTTTTTCTTATCAGAAAACAGACAAGTTATGCATGAAATCGGAGGTGCGGAAAGAGCTGCAGTGTTGGGATAATCTGCAAGTTGAGTCAGTAGCTCCTGACTCCTCATCTACCAGTAAGAATCACCCAAGGTTCAAAAGTTACAACGTGAGGAAGAGAAGCCCAAGGTGCACAGGCCCTGCAAGACCCCCAAGGAGGCCAGGATGTCTTACCTTGGTATAAGACAGCAAATCCCTGGGCCTGATTGATGCGATCAGAGAAGAAATACAAAATGACAAAATCCAGAGAGACATTAAAGGACAAAGGTGGGCGGTTCCTTCCATCAAAACGGACAAGGACGTGGTGGGTGTAGCCGTCCAGCAACTCCACCATGTCTGTGGAATCCCTGATGTCAAATAAGGTGAAGTTGAAGTGGATGTGGGAGGCTCCTGGAACCCGAATCGTCCAGTAGCAGACCCGCCCCGTAGCATAGGTGTCAGGAAAATCAGGGGAATAGACCACAGAAGTCATGGCTGAGTAATTCCCACCGCAGGCACCAACGAGAGCTGTAGAAGACAAAAAGACACCAGGCCCTCAGTCTGGCTCTCTGCCACAGGGCACAGTTTCCAACACTAATAAGAAAAAA